TGATTATACAAATTTACAACTTTCGTCTGACCAGACGAGACCTTTACTACTACTTCCATAGAAATTTCCACCTTTGTCTGACAATAACTTTCCTCCACTACTTTTGCTTCTCTCGACAATGTGCGCGCAAGGTGGTACCACAAGGCGTTGAACACCGCAATCACAGAACTCAAATTGCTTTCAATTTTCGACACTCTAATCTTGTTTTCTCTCCACTGATAGTAATGAATAATCAAGTTATCATAATTTCTCACTGATTAGAAGACTGGATTAGCTAGTGAGAATAAAGTTGTCTTTCTTAGTACTCAATCTTATATACCGAATACTTCATGGAAATGAAATAAATCATTACGAGAGAGAGAGATAGAGATTAGAGGGAAAATCTGCTGATTCGATTTCTCTAAACAAAAGGATTAGATTAGGGAGAGGGAGAGAAAAAAAATGTCTATTTAGGATTGCACGAAGCCGTGATAATGACATCATTGTGAAATGGAGTAGAAAAATGTGATAAGGAGCGGGGGATAAAAATAAGGACGAGAGCTCTCTTTCTCTCCCTTCTCTCTCTTCTTTTTCTTCCCACTTTTTTTTCTTTTTTCTCTCTCACCTCTCGTCCTTTTTTCTATTTTTTCTTTTTTTTCCTTTTCTCTCTTTTTTTTCTTCTTTCTCTCTCACCTCTCGTCCTTTTTTCTATTTTTTCTCCTTTTTTCCCTTCTCTCTCTTTTTTTTCTCTTCTTTCTCTCTCACCTCTCGTCCTTTTTTCTATTTTATTTCTTTTTTCCCTTCTCTCTCTTTTTTTCCTCAAACTTTTTTCCCTTCTTTCTCTCATCTTTCGTCTTTTTTCTATTTTTTCTCTTTTTCATCTTCTCTTTCACCTTCCCTCTCTCCCATCTTTCTTTTTCTCCCATTTTCTTTCTTAGAAAGAAAGAGAAGGAAGAAAAGAAGAAAAATATATCGTCCTTTTTCTATTGTTTCTCCAATTTTCTCTCTCAAAAAGAGAAAAGGGAGAAAAAGTAGAAAAAAGGACGAAAGGTGAGAGAGAAAAAGAGAAGGGAAAAATAGTGGGAGGAAAAAAAAGAGAGAGAATTGTGGAAAGGAAATGAGAGAGAATGGAAAAAAGGGAGAAAGTGACGGAGAGGGGAAAAAAAGGAAAGAACTAAGAAAAGGGGGAAAGAGAGAAAAAAAAATGAAAATTGGGGAATAGAGAAAAGGGAGAGAAAGAGAAAAAAAGAAAGAAAAAGAAAGAGAGAACAGAGAAAATGAAGAGAGAGAGAGAAAAAGAAAAGGGAAAGAAAAAAGGAAAGAACTAAGAAAAGGGGGAAAGAGAGAAAGAAGAAGGAAAAGAGGGAGAATAGAGAAAAGGGAGAGAAAGAGAAAAAAGAAAGAAAAATAAAGAGAGAACAGAGAAAAATGGAGAGAGAGAAAGAAAGAAAAAAAGAGAGAACAGAGAAGGAGAGAGAGAGAGAAAGAAGAAAGACAAGTGAGTGAAAATGGGACAATAACAGAGAAGAAAAAGTGAAAGAGAGAGAAGGTAAAAATAGGAAGGAAAGCGATAATAAAGGAGAAAATAGAGAAAACAGATAGAGAAGGAAAAAAACAAAAAAGAGTAAGAAAGAGAGAGAGAAAAAGAGAAAGAGAAGAAAAGAACAGAAAAGAATAAGAAAAAGAGAGAAAGAAGGAAAAAAGCAGAAAAGAGTAAGAAAGAGAGAGAGAAAAAGAGAAGGAAAAAACAGAAAATAATAAGAAAGAGAGAAAGAAGGAAAAAAGCAGAAAAGAGTAAGAAAGAGAGAGAAAGAGAGAGAAAAGAAAAAAACAGAAAAGAGTAAGAAAAACAGAGAGAGAGAAAGAAAGAAGGAAAAAACAAAAAAAGAATAAGAAAGAGAGAGAAGGAAAAAAACAGAAAAGAGTAAGAAAGAGAGAGAGAGAGAGAGAGAGAGAGAGAGAGAAAAGAGAGAGACTGACATCACAGGGTGTCAGTGGTATATAGAGAGGCAGTGAAAAAAGAGGGTGAGTTTTGCCTGAAGGACTCTTCGTACCGACACGCTACCAAGCGCAACGTTGCCTAGCAACGAAAACCACGCGGAATACAATAATTGTAGCGTGTTGCGGCGACGTCGTGCCAGTAGCTGACACTACCAATGTTGATGCTGACTCGGCTTTTATCCTAAAATCGAAACGATGGATGCCAGGATTCCCAGGCTTTCTCGCAGTTGCATTCTTAAGATGAATTACTTGCTAACGTTTCTCTCTCTCACTCTCTCTCTCTCTCTCTCTCTCTCACTTCCACTCTCTTGATAGATTTTTTTTTATACCGCAAAAAAACAGGAGAGCGGAATTTTGCATTATTTCCATTTTTCTCGAAAATGAGATTTACTCTGTATTTCCATATTTTTATTATTACTCACTTTTTTCATATAATAATCATTTTATTCCTACACTAAATTTTATTATTAAATTAAAAATTAAAAAAGTGTCAAATTGTTGAATTAAATGGATTAAATTTAATTTAAATTTAATTTTAATTTAAATTTAAATTAAAAATTAAATTCTAGTATTGATAGTATTTATTTTATAAAATACAATGGAAAAAAATTTATTTGACTCAAATAAGCGATTACTTGTCAAAAAATTTAATGTTTACTTGAATCAAATAATATTTATTGGAGTGAATTAAATCGTATTTTTTTGAACTAATAATTTCGGTATTTGAAGCAAATAATATGCATTTAATTGACTCCAATAAATATTATTTAATTTAGTTAAATATTTATTAAATAAATACTAAATTTTAATATTTAATATAATTAAGAAAACTATTTAGGTCATGAAAATATTATATTCAAAAATTGAAAATTTGAAAAAGTGGGGAAAATTAAACTTAGCTGGGGATCGAAACTCTGGACTTATCAATTGCCGGTTGATTGCTTTTCCACTGAGCTACGGGAGAGGGATTATAGATATAAAAAATATTATATTAATTAATTATATAGATTTATTTATTAATATAATTATTATATAGATTTTTTTTCGTTTACATTAATATTTTCGTATTAATATTATTATTTTAATTCTTTTTTACTGTTGTTGCGATTTTTTATTGCTGTTTTTGTTATCATTGTAATTATCTTTGATTTTATTATTTTTTCTATTTTTCTTTTTCTTTTTATTGTTTTCTCTTTATTTTTATTATTTTTATTGCTTTCTTTTTATTGTTATTATTTTTATTCTTTTCTTTTTATTCTTTTCTTTTTATTCTTTTCTTTTTATTATTTTGTTTTTATTATTTTCTTTTTATTATATTCTTCTTATTATTTTCTTTATATTCTTATTATTTTCATTATTTTCAATTTTTATTATTATCGTTTGTATTCTTAACACTTTTCCACACTTATTTTCCCTTACCACTTTTTTACTTTTATTCCTTTTCTTCGAAACTTTTAAATTAAAATTACTTTTACTTATAGTCAATTTCGTTATATTTATCGATAAATATTTATAGGTGTAAAGCAAAGAAATAGAAAAAAGCAGAATTTTCTTTGAGAGATTTTTTTTCAAATCTTTTTCATTAGATCACATTTAAGAGAACAAACATATAACTCATGTGCCATTCATTCTGAAAATTACGACGTAGAATCCCTCGAATTCGCATGGAAAATTTTATGTTGCGTATATAACTTGAATTTATTGTTTCTTTAGAGAGAAATCATAATTTTTCTTATTCATTTTTTCTTTGCGTTTGGTGTGGAAGAAGAAAAAAGAGAGCGGTGTATTGATTTAAAATTATACTGTTTCGTCAATATTATATAATTTTTTTTTAAATTGAAATATAAGTAAAAAAAAGTCGGATATTAAAATAAAATTTTATATCTTTTTTTTTTATAAACTTGGCTATCAATTTTTCTTTTCTTTATTGCTCATTCGTGATACATTTATATGTGTATAATAAAGTGCAATTTTATGCTGGTTATAATTTATGAAAATTTGTTATTTTATTTATTTGTATTATTTATGCTGAAATGAAAATAAATTATATTGTTATTTATGCAAATAATATTATTTTTATAATTTTTTTTTATTTATTTTTTTTTTATTTTGTATTTTCATTTTTACTTTTTATTTTCCATTTTCCTTTTTTATTTATTTATTTTTTATTTTTATTTTAGCTTCCATTTCGATTATTAATATTGTCGCTACGCGATTGTGTTCGACGAATTTTAATTTGAATGAGTGGGGAGAATTTTGGTAAACGACGACGATAGGAAGGTGCGATAGGCCCCGACGAGTAGTCGTCAAGCAAACATAAATTATAGAAACGATTTTGTAATCTTTTATATATTCAATTTTAATTAGTTTAATAAAGGCCTTTATGTATGTAATTTGGAATATTTATTGTTTTATCAAGACGCCTTAAAGTAGTGAAATTTATTTAAAAAGAGAGACTTTACGGCAGAACATGGTCCTTCGAGCCGGATGGTATTGAAATTATTGTGAACTCTAATCGGCTGATCATTAAAAAACATTGTGTAAAGTGATCAGAGAATCTTGGCGTCGGGAACTCAACAATTTTAATTCAACAATTTCGAAAAATTAACCAATTTATATCTGGGACTTTCATAATTTGAGGAAAATAAAACTTGGAAATAAATTTTATTCGACAACTGGGAATTTTATTCATCAAGAACGAGAAAATTTTGGATAAGGACGAGGAGAGGACAAGCAGAAAAATAAACTTCTATTGTCATCTAATATCAACATTGTCGCAAGTAGAATTAATTATTGTTATCTTCAAGTTGATTGTAAGTACGCAAATTTATCAAAACTGTGATTTGTAAGTTATGAAAGTTTAAACGATTTTATTTTAACGACGATTATATTTATTATTGACTATTAAATTGTTTCGTTTTGAGTATTTAATGATTAGTTACGAATGTAAATTATTTTAATTATTTTGACTAGTCAATCTTTAACTATTAATTAATTGCCAAAAATTTATAAATTTAAAAATGTCATCCGATGACGTCGAGACTTTGAAACAAATAAAGAAAACGTGTAGAACAAGATTGACTAAATTTAAAACTTTTCTTGAAAAATATGTCGGAACTCAAAATAAAGATAGTGTATCGATCGAAGAGTTTCGGGTGCGTTTAAGTAAAATCGAAGAAGTATGGAAAGAATTTGACAAAGCGCAAACAGCCGTTGAATTAATGTTCCCTGCACAGGATCTTGACCCTGAACGAACAGAGTTTGAAGAATATTACTATAAATATGTATCCTTAGGAAATAAATTTCTTAATCAAAAAACATCTCAAGTTTCTGGCATCGAACAAAACCGAAATGAAGCGCAATCAGCGCGTATTGCTCAATTAGAATCAGAAATCATTGCTCAGCGTGAAGCAGAACTCGCGTCCTTGAGGGAAATGGCTTCGTCGCGCGGAACAATGGTCAGTGAAAGATCGCGTAATTTATTTCCCTTGCCTAAATTGGAGTTGCCCACTTTTTCCGGTGCATACGACGAATGGTTAGCTTTTAGAGACGCGTTCACAGCAGTAATTCATGACGACGATTCAATTCCTACTATTCAAAAATTGAGATATTTACGTTCGTTCGTGAAAAATGATGCAGCGCGAATTATAGAGAATTTGGAGACTACCGAGAATAACTACGCAGTAGCTTGGACTCTGATGAAAGATAGATTTGACAATAGTAGAATTATTATTCAGAATCACATGCAAGCTCTTTTTGACTTGCCGGGGGTCTCAAGAGACTCGTCCTCGAGTATGAGAAAATTGCTCGACGATGCTCTGAGACATATTCGCGCTTTATCGGTTCTTGATCAGCCAACTGATAAATGGGATACTCCGTTAGTTTTCTTGGTGACCTCCAAATTGGATAGAGATACCCGGAAGGAGTGGGAGAGGTCCATAGTGGGATCAAAAATGCCAACCTTTAACGAATTAAAAAAATTTTTAAGTCAAAAATGTCAAATTTTAGAGACAGTTAATTTTAATTCAGATAGAAATAAAACAAACGATTCTAATTCAAGGTCATTGGGAAAAACAGTACAGACAAACAGGGGTGCAAATTTAAAATCATTATTGAACGTACAATCTAATTTTACATGTCCAGTGTGTAACGGAAATCATAATGTGCCATTTTGTGAGGAATTTAAGAAAATGCAAACCGTGGAACGATCGGCATGTGTGAAAAAACTAGGATTATGTTACAATTGTTTAAAAAAAAATCATTTAGTGGGAGATTGTAGGTCGGGTAATTGCACTATTTGTAGAAAACGTCATCACACCTTACTTCATATTGAATCGAGAGTATACACTGTTACCGATGAAAATAAACAATCAAATAATAGATCGAGTATTACTAATTTACATATTTATGACGCATCAAAGGTATTGTTGTCTACAGCAATGGTAGATATTTTCGACGATGATAATTGTAAATATTCGTGTAGAATACTTTTGGATAGTGGCTCGCAGCCAAATATTGTATCGCGAGAGTTAGCAAGCCGATTAAATTGTAAAAAACGGAAAATAAATTTAGCAGTGGAAGTTGTTAATAACATAGAAACTTCATGTTCGGAATGGATTAGTTTGAGATTAAAATCTAAATGTTCTAATTATTCGACAGTGTTAAGCTTCTTGATTCTGCCTCACATCACAGGAGATGTTCCTGCCAATATTGTTGAGAGAAATTCATTATCTATACCAGAGGACATTTGCTTAGCGGATCCAGATTTTCATCATCCCAAGAGAGTTGATGCTTTGATCGGTGCTGAGGTGTTCTACGATTTGCTGCTAAATGGAAGAATGAAACTGAAAAATCCGGGACTGGGACTGCAGAATACTAAATTAGGCTGGGTAGTCTCAGGGAAGCTAGGAGGAACATGGAATCAGGAAAAAGTACACTGTCATTTGGTCCGAGGAGGTCTACACGAAAAGGTAGAAAAATTTTGGGAATTAGAAGAGGTCTAAGTTATGAGATGGCAAGGAAAAGGTTTTTCATGTTGGAGAGACGATTGGAAAAGAATCCTGATTTAAAATTGGAGTATCATAAATTCATGTCATCATATCTGGAGTTGAATCACATGGAGCCGTCAGGAAGTGGACCAAATGAGGGGTACTATCTACCTCATCATGCGGTAGTAAAAAAATCCAGTCTAACAACAAAGCTGCGTGTGGTCTTCGACGCATCTGCAAAATCAACAACTGGATTATCCCTCAATGATACCTTGAGAATTGGACCAACCATTCAAGATGGAATTTTTGAATTAATACTCCGATTCAGATGTTATAGGATAGTTCTCTCTGCAGACATCGAAAAGATGTACAGACAGTTCTGGATAGATCCGGAAGACAGGAAGTTCCAGAAAATTCTGTGGAGATGGAATCAGTCTCAACCGTTGCGAACGTTCCAGCTGAAAACGGTCACATATGGAACAGCATGTGCTCCTTTCATGGCGACGCGATGTCTTAAACAGCTAGCTCATGAAGAAAGGACCTCGTATCCGTTGGCAGCAAAGGCAATTGAAGAGGATATGTACGTGGACGATTTGTTGACTGGTACCAATTCTGTCGAGGAAGCTAAGAGATTGCGAGATGATATCATAACAATCACAAATCGAGCGGGACTCACTATGTGCAAATGGCTTTCGAATCATTCAGCCATCATGATGGATCTACCGGACAAATCTGGAACCACGATGATCAGTCTGGATCCGGAGAAGATCACTAGAACGCTGGGCGTTGGCTGGAGTGCCAACGAGGATACGTTAATCTTTGAAGTGAGTCAGGGACCGGTGATCGAACAATGGACTAAACGCAATATATTATCAAGAATTGCCCAATTGTTTGATCCGTTGGGTTTGGTGTCACCGATCGTAGTATTGGCCAAGATCATCTTACAGGATCTCTGGAGATCACAACTTGGATGGGACGACGGAGTTCCTGAAAATATAAGAAAAATGTGGGTGGATTATCATGCTCAACTGCCAGTGCTGAATGGATGGAGCATTGATCGTCATATGTTGATGCCGGAAGCTACAAACATCCAACTGCACGGCTTCTCCGACGCTAGCATGAAAGCATACGGAGCATGCATTTATTTACGAGTAGCTACGAAAGAGGAAATCAAAACGACCTTGGTGTGTGCTAAGTCCAGAGTAGCTCCAATAAAGGCTGTGACGTTGCCCAGGTTGGAGTTGTGTGGCGCTCTGTTGCTCGCGAGGCTCTACAGGATGGTGGGAACTGCCATAGATCTAAATCTCGATTCCATTCATTTTTGGTGCGATTCTACCATCGTCTTGGCTTGGCTTCAATCACCGGAACAAAAAAGAGAGATTTTTGTATCCAATAGGATTTCCGAGATTAAAGAACTTACAGCTGCTGGAAAATGGTCACATGTACCCACTAAGCAAAACCCTGCGGACTTGGTCTCGAGAGGTGTATTGCCATCAACCTTCTTGCTGAACGAATTATGGAAGGAGGGACCAGAGTGGCTGAAGAAGAATGAAGATCATTGGCCTGAATATCGAAGAGAAAAAATAATGGAAGCAGATTCTGCAGAGAACGTAGTAACACTCACAGTGATTACGAAAAAAAATTCTGATCTTTGGGAAAGATTTTCATCCATGAAAGCATTGAGGAGATTTTTCGCTTGGTCGTTTCGGTTCAAGGAAAATGCAAGCAAACTAAGTCATCGAGATGGTCCTCTCACTGCCACCGAATTGAAAATTGCAGAAGATCGGATTATGCAATTGGTACAACGCGAAGAATTTGAAGAGGAAATAAAAAATGCACACGCAGGGAAGGAAATTTCGAAATCATCGACCTTGAACAGATTGTCTCCCATATATGTTGCTGGAATGTTGAGAGTGGGGGGCAGAATTGAGAATGCTGCCATTAACGACAACAAAAAACATCCAATTGTCTTGCCGAAAAAACATATTGTAACGCGTTTATTGATTAGAGAATATCACGAAAAAAATTTACATTCTGGGGTTAATACCACACTGTACGCACTGAGATCTAAATATTGGATAATTGACGGTAGATCGTTGGTCAGGAACGTATTGCATTCATGCATCAGATGTTTTCGGGTAAAACCAAGAGAACCATTTTACAAAATGGGCAATCTTCCTAGAGTTAGATTAACGGCAGCTCGACCTTTTGAGAATGTGGGAATTGATTTCTGTGGGCCATTTTTTATAAAAGAAAAGGTGCATAGAAACAGAGGTAAAGTGAAGGTGTATATAGCAGTCTTTGTTTGTCTGTCGATCAAAGCGGTACATTTGGAGTTGGTGGGCGATCTGACATCCGATTCATTCATTGGTTGCTTGAGACGTTTTTTCGCGCGGAGGGGAGTTTCAAGGTCGATATATTCCGATAACGGAACTAACTTTGTCGGCGCGAATAATCAATTAAGGGAGTTATATGACTTGCTCAATTCAAAAAAATGCGATGATGAAACTCGCAAATTTGCAGCGGAAAGGGGAGTCGATTGGCATTTTTCTCCACCGAGGACACCGCATTTTGGAGGAATCTGGGAGGCGGCCGTGAAATCGGTGAAGCATCATGCCCATCGAGTCCTACGAGACACTTTGTTTAGTTATGAGAGTTTAAATACTTTTTTGACGGAAATCGAGTCAATTTTGAATTCGCGACCATTGACTCCAATGTCGTCTGACCCAAATGACCTTGACGCGTTAACGCCGGGCCATTTCCTGATAGGAACCTCGTTTGCGGATTTGCCATCGCTTGATTATTCGGCTACAAAGGTAAATGTTTTGACGTCATGGCAACATTTGCAAAAATTGCGCCAAGATCTCTGGAAACGGTGGTATGTTGAATACTTGAGTGAACTCAATGTAAGGAGTAAATGGTTTCAAGGTAGTGCAGATATTGTAAGGGTAGATTCTATGGTTGTATTACGAGATAATAATTTGCCACCACTGCAATGGTTGTTAGGAAGAGTGATTGAAACGCATGCAGGAGATGATGGCATAATACGTGTTGTTTCGGTAAAGACGAAAAATGGCATCTGCAAGCGAGGAGTAAAAAGAGTATCGCCGTTACCCTTAGACTGTGATTAAAGTATGTTAATTGATTAATCAAGGCGGGCGGCATGTCGCTACGCGATTGTGTTCGACGAATTTTAATTTGAATGAGTGGGGAGAATTTTGGTAAACGACGACGATAGGAAGGTGCGATAGGCCCCGACGAGTAGTCGTCAAGCAAACATAAATTATAGAAACGATTTTGTAATCTTTTATATATTCAATTTTAATTAGTTTAATAAAGGCCTTTATGTATGTAATTTGGAATATTTATTGTTTTATCAAGACGCCTTAAAGTAGTGAAATTTATTTAAAAAGAGAGACTTTACGGCAGAACAAATATTAATATTAAATAATTATAGAAATATTATTAAATGCATTTCTCTAATTACAATTAAAAAAATGAATTTTCCGTAATTATATGAAAAATAATTCTCAATTTATGTGTTCGCCGCGGTATATCTTCTTTTACTGCTGAATAATAATTTCTCTATTTTTTGCAATCCCTTTTTCTTAATCAGCATTATTCCGCATTATCTGATCTTTTTCTAAAGCCGAAGAGCTCTTCATTTTCCTGACTAATCCCTGCTGTATTTTATAAAATGATCCTGTAATTCGTATCTCTCTCTCTCTCTTTTTTTTTATCTACCCTCTCGAATTATTTGCCTCCTACAATTCCTCCCCACACTGTTTCCATATTTATAGTCAAGTTTGATGACTTTACTATAATAAAACATATTCCTCTATTCAGAAAACTTTTTTTATTTCCCTTCTAGAAGATTAATTTCAGTTCTTACAAAAGTTACCCTTATACATATTAAAATAAAATTCTTCTCTTTTTCTCTCGGAAAAGAAATTCATGCAACGTACAAATTAATTATTGTTCAGACTTGTGCTCAAGTTTTTTCGTTGGGTTTTTATTGTTCAGACGCAAAAAAAACTTGAGAGTAACAATTTTGTGCTTTTTTTGACACTATTGAATGTTTAAATATTTTTATAAATATTTAAATGATATTTAATTAATTAAATAATAATCTATGTTAATAATCGTTGTATTCCGGTAATCTGTTCGCAGTTTGAAGTTAGTTGTTGTTTGCTTTTTTTGTTTGTTAACTTCTTTTATAATTTTTCTTTTCAAATATTTTCAATTTTAAAATTAATGTATTGAAAATCATCGAAATGTTCCAAAGAATTTTATCAAAAAAATATGATAATAATAGAATTCCTTCGAAGAATTTCATTATTTAGGAAAATAATTGAATTCTTGCGAAGAATAAATTTTCTATTTATTTATTTTCTTTATTTTAGAATTTTTCTTTATTTTATTCTATTTATAAAAACAAATGAATTGTTCCGAAGAATTTTAAAAAGTTTTAGAAAATAAATTAATTTTATGTAGGTAAATATTTGAAAATTTAAATTCATTCGAGGAATTCTATTAAAATTCTTTTGAAAAAAATTAAATTTCTGTAAAGGATTTTACTATTTATAAAAATAATTGAATTATTGTGAAGAATTTTACTATTTTTAAAAATAATTGAAATGTTTCGAAAAATTTATTAAAAATTTTAGGAAATTATTCAATTGTTATGAAGGATTTTATAGAAATATTTGAAAATAATGAAATTTTTTCGCAAAATCAAATTAAAGTTGTTTCGAAAATAATTGAATTTCTTTAAAGAATTTTATGAAAATTGAATTCTTTCAATTTTTTTTTTTTTTGACAAATATATTTAAAAATTGAATTGAAAGTAATTTAATTTTCATATAGAATTTTTTTTCAAATATTTTGAGGATAATTGAATTATTTTTAGAGAATTTTAAATTCTTGTTGAAATTGAATTTTATGAAAATTTTTGAAAATATTTAATTTCTTTCGTGTAATTTTATTTTTAAATTGGATTAAAAATAATTTAATTTCTGCAAAGAATTTTAGTATTTATAAAAATAGTGCAATTATTTCGAAGAATTTATTAAAATTTTAGGAAAATAACTGAATTTTTTGGAAATATTTTTAAATATTTTAATTCATCCGAGGAATTCAATTAAAATTGTTTTGTAATTAATTAAATTCCTGCAAAGAAATTTTACTATTTATAAAAATAATTGAATTTTTGCGAAGAATTTTATTATTTATAAAAATAATTGAATTGTTTCGAAGGATTTATTAAAATTTTAGAAAATAATTGAATTTATTTGAAATTTATTAAATATTTTTTTAGAAATTCAATTCTTTCGAGGAATTCAATTAGAATTGTTTTGAAAATAATTATTTTAGATAATTGAATTGTTTTGAAAATTTTTATAACGAATTAAAAAAAAAATTTAATTTTTAACAATAAAATGTTCTTTCCAAATTTATTTTATTGCATTTATTTGTTAAAATTGTAATTAATTGGAAGAATTTAATTTAAAATATATTTTTTTCAACTTTTAGTAATTTCTAAGGTTTAAATAAATTACAAATAATAGTTAATAATAATGATAATAATATTAATAATATTAAGTTTGAAAGAAATAGTTAAGAATAGTAAAATAGTAAATAATAATAGTAATAATAATACCAATAAGAATAAAAATAGGAATAAAAATAAAAATATGAATAGGAATAGGAATAAAAATAGGAATAGGAATAGGAATAGGAATAAAATTAGGAATAGAAATACGAATAAAATTTGGAATAGAAATAGGATAAGCACACGTGCGGTATTTGGGAAAATAAGAGAAAAAAGAAAAATGTCTAAAGTAAATACAGTGTTAAAAGAAAGTTGCGCATTGTTAGAGTCTAGTAATGAATGAAGGAGAAGAAGAAAAAGAAGAAGGAAGCTAAGTCCTGAGATAGTGTAAGAGTTAGGAAGACTGAGACAAAAGGGTTGAAAATGCACAGGAGGGGAATTGAAGGGAAGAGATTATCAAGTATTTAGGTAACTCAGTTTAAGAAGGTACTGAAGGAGAATGAAAGGGAAGATACAAGCTTTTGATTTAGTATTTGAAAGAGGGTTGGACACTTGAAACAGAAAGAGAAAATTATGCTAAATTATGCAAGTATAAATTAAAAAAGTATTCCACTTTATTACAATAGAATATTAAAAATTTATTTGACTGTATAAACTTTTTTTTTATTGTTTCCATTATTCTTGTATAATAACTTCCATTATAGAGGATATTTATTGTATTTATTTGCAAATGTAAATATTAATAATATAATATTATCGTATAAATAATAAATTTATAAATAATAAATTAATATTAACCATTAATATTATAAATATTATTTTTATAAATAAATATTAATAATAACATTATTATTTTTCAAATTTTTATTTAAAATAAAAATATTTAAGTGTTTTTCTATTTCTAATATTAATTAAAATTTTTAAGTGTAAATATTTAAATATTCAAATATTTTCAATATAAATTTAAGGAGAAGATATTTAATTTTAATATTAATTTTGAGTGAAAAAAAAATATTTTTTTAATTTTGAATGTTAATTTTAAATTAAAATATAAAGCTAATAAGCTTTATATTTTCATTTAAAATTAACATTCAAAATTAAAAAAATATTTTTTTTATAATTAGCATAATAAAATACAGAAATAAGTATAAAATTTAATTTTGGTTTATTTAGTAGTAATTATAAAAAAGTATTTAAAAAAGACAATTGAACGACATACGACAATATGGTCTGGGAAAATGTGTGTATTTATTTTTTCATCGATTTTGACAGTAAATATAAAAGCAAGGATATAAACATGATGATTGTCAGTAGCAGTTGTTTTTTATTGATGAATATATAATTGAAGGTATGTTAATGTGGATTTAATTTGGTTTTAACTTTTATTTACATTTTACTACTGGCAATAACAATACTATTATTCATCAAAGTGTCTTTAATGTATGGACGTTTATTGTACACATAACCTTATAATACTAACATTAATTTTTTGTATTAACAAACAAAAAATGAAAAATTAATCATTTATTTTTATATTTATTTATTTATATACATTCCTCTCACAATCAGTATCATAATAGTAAAAAATCTATGAATTTTTTTGAATCTATGATTCTTTATAAATTAGATTTAATATACTTGAGAATTTTTTTAGTCATGTCTGACCGTCTATGGTTTCTACTACTTCAAAATTGACTCTTGACAAGATCTGTTTTATTCACTTTTAATTATTACTTAATTTTTATTAATTCCAAATTAGATAATAATTTTTCAGTATAAAATTATCGCGATGATATTCTCTGAAAAATTTTTTAGAAATTTTTAATAATTAAAAACTTTTTATTTTTTGAAAATTAAAAGTTTCATTCAAATTATTAAAAATTAAAAATTTTATATAAAAAATGTTTGTAAATTAAAAATTGAAAATTTCTTATAAAGTCGAACAAAATAAAATCTAATAACTAGAAGAAGGTATTCGTTGAAATTATTTGGCACAGTTTTAAGTAGAAATTAGGTATTTGTCATTTTTAGAAATAGTTTCGCATAGAATTTCTGTAAAACATTCGAAATATTTGCCACAGAATATCGAAATTTCAATACAGAATGAAAAATAAGAGTAAAAAAGAAAAAAAAAGAAAAATAATAATATAGAATAAGAAAAGAAGGTAAAAAATTAAAAAACAAAAGAAAATAATAATAAAGATAAATAAATGTTATATTACTAGTAATATTTTCTTTCTCTTAAAATAATTTTAATTAAATATTAATAAATGTCAATAAATATAAAAATATAAATTAAACTTGGAGATTAACGATCACATCGAATCAAATTGCCATATGGAATTAAATGAAAATTTTTAACAAAAATTTTTGCAGTAATTAAAAAAATTGTCAAGCAGTATTTTGTAAATAATTTGAAAATTAAAATTAGTTAAACAAATGAATTTGAATATACAAAAATTGAATATCAATGGTATTTTTTAGCATTTTTAGCCAAAAACGAAAGATTTTTTTTTTTTTTGGAAAAAATGCTTCAAAATATTCTTCGCCGAAATTCAATTATATTCAGGAACTTTAATA